GAAAAAAAGAATGTTGACCAGGGCAATACTTTGAGTTTACACTTACAGCTTGTCCAAGGTCATTCATTATTAATACTATTAGTAATATCTTTGTTAAAGACTTTGATGGCCACAGCTCAAACATGAGAGGTTGAGCTTTATTAGCTCCACCTTGCGAAAATTCCGGATACTATTATTTTGCTTGTTGTATTATAGGAGAATTTACGGTAACTCGAGGTATTTATCGGTAGCTTGCGGTAGACTGCGTACAGCGTACCGCAAAATAATGCGGTATCGCCCACGCATTTTGAATGGCTGCATCTGTAAAGTCTATTAGGCTTTGCCTGTGGTCCTGAACCTTTTTCTTGTTTGGTGTTTCCAGTCTCATGTTCAATTTGATTAGGCAGTAATAAGTTTGTTTATAACTTTGGATACTTTTTACATCTGAATCATTACTTTTAATTAATTAAGTACATTAAAATTAATTATGTACTTAAGTGTTTTTCTGTGGTATATCACCAATACATTTTTGTATTCACAACTGTGTAAACCCATTAAATATCAATAATAATAAATCAGTCATACTAGAGTTATGTTGCCCAGTTTTACATAACAAAATATTTGAATTTATACATTTTCTTAAGTATCATAATACATTCAATGAACGTGGTAAGCAGGACTATGAAGCTGATAAATATAAACAACAGTGATGGACAGCACTGTGATGTCTCGACTGAATGTAGGTGCTTAAAATCTCTTCTTCCTTTCTTCTTCTTCTGTGCCGCAGGCCTGTGTTGCTGAGAGCATCATGCTGAACCTGGCAGGGCAGCTGATTATGCTGCAGAGGGATCGCTCAGGACCACAGGTTCGAGAGAAGGAGAATTTACCCAGTCAAAAGAAGCTGGTGAGAAATTCTGCATTCTTGTGGCCACTCACAGACACGTCCTTTTTTCTGTGGAAAAATATTGCTTAGTCATACATTATCTATTGAAATATAAGTCTTCCAACAGTGACTCATAACTAGGTTTTAGATACTTCAGTCTGTATTATAGATACCTCTGTATCCTGGGCATTGTAGGCTAAACCCTTTCAAGCCTTTTCACTTGCTGAACAGTACTGTTTTGAATATCTGCTGAAGCCTTTAACTAATTCACTTTTCTAAGATGAGAGTATTTAGAGAATATACTGTGGGGTGTCCTGTCTCTGTGGGTAAAAGCTGGTGCCTGGGAACCATGTATTTCTTCCACATTAACCTGTTCTTCTGTCAAGTGTCATTTCTTACATTTTGTTTCCTTTTTTTAATGCATGAATATATGTAAATAACGATTTATTGGATATCCAAATATCTGTGTAATTCTGTGGCTTTGCTTGTGCATTTCTTACTAATAAAAAAGATAATCCATGTTTTAAGAATGAAATGCTGGTAAGAAAGAGTTAAGCATGGTCTTTGTTCTCTTACCCAGCTTCCTTTCTGCCCTCCTGTGGTACTGGCACAGTGCGTGGAGAATGTTTGGACCACATGTCGTACAAATAAGCAGAAGCGTCACCTCCTGGAGGCTCTATGGCTGGCCTGTGGGGAGGCAGGCATGAAGGTGTGGCTGCCCCTTTTCCCTCGGGATCACCGCAAACCCCATTCCTTCCTGTCGCGACGCATCATGCTGCCCTTTCACATAAACATCTACCCGCTCGCTGTGCTCTTCGAGGATGCTCTCGTACTGGGTGCCACCAATGAGACTGTGCTGTATGATGGTCTGCAGGGAGCCAGCGAGCCTCTGGAGGCTCTCTTTCCCTTCTGCACTGTGGAGCGTACCTCCCAGATCTACCTCCATCACATCCTGCGACAGCTGCTGGTGCGCAACCTGGGGGAGCAGGCCCTGCTGCTCGCCCAGTCCTGTGCCAGTCTCCCCTACTTCCCACATGTGCTGGAGCTGATGGTGCACGTGGTGCTGGAGGAAGAGGCAACGTCACGGGAGCCCATCCCCGACCCTCTGCTGCCCACTGTGGCCAAGTTCATCACTGAGTTCCCCCTCTTCCTTCAGACTATTGTGCACTGTGCCCGCAAAACCGAGTACGCCCTCTGGAATTACCTGTTTGCCGCTGTGGGGAACCCCAAGGACCTCTTTGAAGAGTGCCTCATGGCCCAGGACTTAGACACAGCTGCCTCTTATCTCATCATCTTACAGGTGACTCACGTATGAGGATTCCCGGCCACTTTCCACCAGAGTAAATGCATGGTTAAAGTACTTCACACTCCTGGGGGGCAAGTGGTAGAACCTGAATTTTATGAGTAGTTTAACAGTAAACATAAGAGTAAAGGAGGACATTAATAATAAGATAGAATTATTAACAGATTAATGTAACCGCACTGAAAAGTACTATATTATGGTTATGTAGCCGTCCTGTCCGTCTATATATAGAACATTAAGTGCAAAAACTTGAGCCAACAACAAAATAATTGTGAATCTGCTGTGGAGACAAAAATATACTATGTCAGATGACCATAAGTGTACTATGTGTACTATTTTTAACAGGCTCTGATTTGGTAAATGTTTCAACACACTAACCCTGCTTGTCTGTGGCATTCTCTTTCACAGAACATGGAAGTTCCAGCTGTGAGCAGACAGCACGCTACCCTGCTTTTTAACACAGCCCTTGAGCAGGGGAAATGGGATTTGTGTCGTCACATGATCAGGTTTCTCAAAGCCATTGGTTCAGGGGAGTCTGAGACACCACCCTCCACACCAACCACTCAGGTATATACTATAATACTATAGTTATTTACCTATAACATGCTGGGTTGAAAATTATGGGTCTTTCATAGTATTTAATTTTATATGTACTCGTAACAGATATTTAAATACAATTTATTTTCTGTAATAACTGTCTATGAACATTGATTTCTCTTTCCTGAATCAAACAGGAACCCAGTTCAACTGGGGGGTTCGAATTTTTCAGGCATCGGAGTATCAGTCTGTCACAGTCAGCTGAGAGCCTAGGTGCTGGGAAGTTCAACCTTCAGAAGACATTGAGCATGCCCTCAGGGCCATCGGCCAAGAGGTACCTTTCGCAGACTTTAGCAGCCTCAATTGAAAATTTCAGTGTGAAGCTCAGATTGTTCATCTCTTTTGGGTCTCTTACAGAAGGAAATAATTAATCTTTCTTTTCTCTCTAGCTTTCTCTGTGTGTTTACACATACATTTAGATCAAACATATGAGTGGTTACAGACTAAAGGAAGTCTGCTAATAGCTTGACAATCTAACAAGTCCATCTATACTTTCTTAGAGGATCCTAAGTTACCAGCTTCAATAAAAATAATATGCTATGGATCTGATTCTACACTCATCTCTCATCTATCTCTCTTCTTTTTAGTCTTGAGCTCCTAAATGTAATTTACATTTGTAGCCCAGGGTTCTTGTATTACTGCAGATTTTGAAGAAGTCATCCAAAGTAACCTGGTTAATGCTTTCTGGAACTTTTGAATATCTGAATCGAGTCCTTAGTAAAGTTCCGTTACAATGTTTGTCAAGTACTATAATGTAGACCTAATATGAAGGATCGTGAAACTCCCAGATGTATAGACCTACTGTATGCGTTTCAACTTAGTATTCATGCAAAAGATCCAAAATCTATTTCTTGGTTTATTGAATATTTAATGGTTTGGTTGTATTTATAAATGATTATTGGAGGCAGTGAAAGCAAGTTTGGGAGTGCTACTTTTTTTGCTTTGTATTTTTGTCATATGGTCAAGATTTGGATCTTCCAGAAAAAATGTTCAGTATTATTCATTCTTCTTATTTGCTGTTCTGTGTCCCAGATGGAGTAAAGACAGTGAGTGTGCAGAGAACATGTACATTGACATGATGCTGTGGCGCCATGCCAGGAGGCTGCTGGAAGAAATCAGGCTGAAGGATCTTGGCTGTTTCTCTGCCCAGCTAGGCTTTGAGCTGATCGGTTGGCTGTGCAAGGAGCGAACCCGTGCTGCCCGTGTTGATGACTTCATCACTGCCCTGAAGAGGCTCCACAAAGACTTTCTCTGGCCCTTCCCAGTTATCCCTGCCTTCTCTATCAACTCTCCGTTCCGAAATGGCAGGTATAGGACAGGTAAGGAGGAAGCATGAGATTCTGAAGCTTTCCAATATCATTTACACCCAAAGTCATGGTGCATTTAAAGAAATCGCGAGAGGTCAGTGATCATCCACCTGGAGTTAACAAATGTTTTAGGATTTTCTTAATTCAAAAATGACATTATCTTTGTTTTGCCATTTGTATTTTGCTACACCTTTATAGTCTTTTACTTTCTTTTAAATGGATGTCATATAAAATACCATTTATGCATATATTATTATAATGATTAGTGTTATTACCAGTGTGAGGAGGACCTGATAAAACACATTTCTAGATTAATGAAAATAAGAAAGATTGCAGTGAGATTATACTGCCCATTTTGCATGTTTAGTAATTTAGTAATTATTTCAGGTATTAAAATAGGTTTGGATTTATAGAAAAGTCAATGAAGTCTTTCAGAACTCTGAAAGAAGTTCAGAGCAAACCCCATAGCCAGAATACAAGTAATTTATAAACTTACAGGCAACATTGCTTTAGAAAGGAGGACATGTCAGGGATCCCTGCTATCTCCCATTCTATTTGCTCTTTACAATGAACCCCTTGCCCAAGCTATAAGAGCGTATCAAGGCACAAAAGGTATTTTTTTAAAGAAACAAAGCAAACATTTTTTTAATAACCCCCCCAAAAAATCTTCTCAACTTGGTTTGTCACAGCTTTGTTAGAGAGATTGTAGTATCAGGGAAGTATGTAATTCCCATATATAAAAGATAAAATCACTTTATTGGCCATATGCAATTTCTTGTATTAAGAATTTTTTTCACATTTCCCAACTTGCTCTCCATGAGAGACGCAGACAGGGAGAGAAGCTTGGGGTCACAGCACAGGGTCAGACATTTATACGGGTTAAAGGCCTTGCTCAGGAGCCCAATGGAGTAGGATTCCTCTGCCAGCTGTGGGATATGAACCGGCAACCTTCTAGCCACAGGTGCAGATCCTTAGCCACAGGTGGCAGATATTGGCAATGCCTGAGAATTCAATCCTGTTATGAAGAAGTGTAGTCTCTGGTTATGTTTAGAAAGTCTTGTTCAGTTATGTATATAGGTAATCTGCCTGATGAAGTTGAGGGAAGTGATAAGTAGTATAAATAAATGATTAGCAGCTTTTTTTTCTGATAATTCTTGTATGTCAACAAACACTATTATTTTACTATTTTTTCAGCTATTTGCTTCTTAGTGGTACTTGAATTGTTGGGCCCCAGCTGCCAGGGTTAGACCACACACAACATTTATGTGAATAATAATTTTGTATTATTCATCCTTAATTAATTTTCTTTCAATTTTCAATTTTGACCCCATGTTCTTGTTTATCTGCTGAGTCTGTACCCTTTATGATTTTGAGGACTTGGATTCAGTTTCCTTTCAGTTCCCTTTGTTTTAGAGTGAAGTTGCCTAGTTCCTTTTATCTGTCTGTATAGGACAGGAATAGTTCTTTTAGCTTTGCCTTGACGTCTTGCCTAATAATATGCTTTTGTGGTACAGTGCCAAATCTGAACTCTAAATGAGATATTACTGAATCTTGAATCTCTAAATATTTGAATCTATATAAACACCCAGATCCTTTTTTTGTTTAGCTTACTACAGCTCAGAATCATCTGTGATATATATAGTGAGGTTGCTGCTTCCTGTTTTTATCACTTTGGATTTGTCAGTTTAATTACATTTCAGAGTGTACAGTGCCTTCAGAAAGTATTCACCCCCCATTGTTTTCTCATTCTGCTGTGTTTCAAAGTCAAATTAAAGCATATTTAAATGGGATTTTTTTCCACTCCTCTAGAAGTAATTCTCTATAATGTTAAAATGAAAAAATTCACCCCCTTTGTTTTAACAACCTAAATTGAAACCTTTTGGAAGAAAATGTTGTGGTCTGATGAGACTTACGTTTAGCTCTTTGGCCTGAAAGCAAAGCACTATGTTTGACGCAAACCAAATACAGCCCAACACCCAGGTAACACCATCCCTACCATCAAGCATGGTGGTAGTAGCATCATGCTCTGGTGTTGCTTTTCAGCAGGGGGAACTAGAAAGCTTCTTGCCATCAAGGGCAACATAGATGGAGCCAAATACAGGCAAATCCCTGAGGAGAACCTGGTTCAGTCAGTCAGAAATCTGCATTTAGGGCGAAGATTCATTTTCCAGCAAAACAATGACCCAAAGCACACGGCAAAAACTATCAAGGAATGGCTTGAAAAAAAGAAGGTTAGTATTCTGGAATGGCCTAGCCAGAGCCCAGACTTGAATTCAATTGAAAATCTGTGGTATGACCTGAAATTTGCTGTCCACTGACGCTCTCCATCTAATTTGGCAGCATGGAGCAAATTTGCATTGAAGAATGGGCAAAAATTCCACAATCTAAATGTGCAAAGCTTACACAGACATACCCAAGAAGACTCACGGCTGTAATTGCTGCTAAAGGACTATGTACAAAGTATTGACTCTGGGTGGAGGGGGTGAATACTTTTGTAAATGAGAAATGTAAGTCTTTAATTCAGGAGAAACGAATGTTCTTGAAAAAAAATATTTTTGATTCATAAATGTGTTGAATTTATTTTGTTATTGAAGGGAGAAAAAATTATTTCAATGTGTTAAAATTTGGAGGTGTAACAGGAACAAAATGTGGAAAAAATTCAAGGGGGTGAATACCTTCTGAAGGCACTGTATGTCCAATCCAAGTCTTTTTGTAAATACTTTGCTGCTGTCTGTTGACAGCTTCCCATATTTAACCAGTTTTTTACCCAAACTGAACACAAATGTTTATATGAATATACAGACCAAGATGCAGATCAGGAACAGCCTAAAACAAGCAGCCATTGTCTGCTTTCAAAACTTACATAAAATATACATAAAATGTTAACTTATAATGGTCACAATTCCCCCATGTCATCCCTTATTTGTACTATTATTTGAAAAGACAAGGTCAATAAGAGCATCTTATTTGATTTGAGCACCGTGTAGTTTCTTTGTTGCGTCTCTGTTGAGTGTGATGACGACTGTTTCAGCTGAGCCTGTTGTGTGTTTGTCTCAGTGGTAGGAGAACAGTTCATCAAGTCCCAGTCGGCAGACAGCCTTCTGAACAGTGAGATGGACACAGCCCCACCCAGCGCTCCCCGCAGCCACAGCTGGCTGGACAGCTTGGGCCCCGAACAGAAAGAGATGGATACAGGCTCTTCACATGGGGCACACACTCAGGAGGCCTTCCTCTCTCCTCTCCTCAACAAAGGTCAGTCACCTCTCGGTCCCAGGCAGCATCCCTCCAGCTCCACTGCTTCCTCTTTGGAGTCACACAAACCTGGCTTGAAAACTGCTTAAAGACATTGTTAAAGTGTTAAAGCAAATTGTTAACTTATCTATTCGTTGAATGTCTTTGAGGAGAGTTTTTGAAAGTGATGATAAATGGGAAGACGAAGACATCTAGGAGATACAAGGGGGCTATACTGTCATCAGTCAAAAGTGGCAGGTATCACAATGCTATTGCCATTTGAGGGTATAGATTTAAATTTTGATTAAACTTTGAAAAGTGTTCAAGATGTTATTAATAAGATGTTATTTCAATCTGATTTTCTTCTTGTCCAGGTCTTCATTTTAAAAATCTTGTACTTTGTCAGTGGTCATTATCAGTGCTGAGGTTGTTGTTGTTCTTGACGTGTGGTCAGATATTTTTTTGTTTTTTGTATCACTGAGAAATATAGCAGAACCATACAACAACTGACATTCTTCAGGCTTTCTTAATTGTCAGTTCCTAGAACTGCAGCACACTCCTAACAAAACTTCTAACATTTTTTTTTATTTAAGTTTCTGAACAGATATTCAATACTGATAAATGATATATGTAAGTAATCTGTAGCTAAGGGGTCTCTACCCCTTTTTTGATCAGCTTCTTAAAATGCAGGGCAACTCCTAATTACAGCCACTTCATACTCTTTGGTTTGTGTTTGTATATTAGGCTTACTAAAGCCTATATACCGACTGAATAAAGGTCCTAAGACATTTAAGATGTAAGATGTTAATATATCTATCAGAAAAATAGCATGTCTCCTTTATAGAGACATTTAGGCTTCATATTTAAGCCTTTGTAGGCTGTCCAAGAACAAAAACATAATAAGGCTTTTGCTTGAATCCTCCTCAGCTTAATACCACTCCTTTATTGCACCCCAATACTAGTGGCATCAGAAACAGGGCTAAACTGTTCCACAGAAACTAGACAGTGACCTGTGCAAGCTCTGCTTTGACAGAATGTCTCATTGTTGCAGGTGATGAATGCAGTATCGGCTCAGCCACAGACCTGACTGAGACCAGCTCCATGGTAGATGGGGACTGGACCATGGTGGATGAGAACTTCTCCACTCTCAGCCTGACCCAGTCGGAGCTGGAGCACATCTCCATGGAGCTGGCCAACAAAGGCCCACACAAATCACAGGTGCAACTGAGGTAAGTTGGTTTCTTTTGACCCACAGATACTTAGCATCTCTTCGGCACTGTTCAGTTGTATTGGAATTTGATGCCAGTCTCATTCATGTCCACTGGAGAAAGTGATATATCAGGATTGTGAAACTAGATTTTAATAATGCACATTCAGAGGCACTGGTCACATTAGAGATTGAAGATTAAAAACTTCAGGGTATGTTTTTAATCATAAGCATGAGAGAAAATTATGGACGTTAGAACATCTTTTTTTCCACATGCATAAATTTAGCTTGGAAAATTGAGCTAGAGCTTAAAGTTTTCCTGTGAAAATTTGGTCGAAACTTATTATCGCCATTTATGTCAATGTAACTTGAATAAATGTGATTTTGTAATTTGAATAACTTCTAGGTGAAAAAATACTAGCCCTATTACAACATATTAACATTACATTCAGAAATATTTAAAAATAAGATATTTCTGAAAGTATAGCATACATCTTATTTTAAAATATTGGCTTTTACTAAGTGTATATGTAGTAGTAATTGTTACTACAGTAAAAACAAACAGGGCACTTAACTAATAAGAGTGTTGAGTTTAAAGTAGAATGTAGCCCAACTCTTCTTAAAGGGGTTGTCCCAAAGAAACCTATGACTCACATGATTCATCTTCCTCTGTTATCTGCAATATTATTATTGTATCAGTTTTATTATTAAATTAATTTACGACAACTCTATGTTTGCAAATTTTAGGAAATAAATGATGAAAACTCAATAAAATTGAAAAGTGTTCAATTGATCAGAAAAAAATGATGATGATTTACTTCATCAGTTATTTTATGTGTGTAATGAAGTCAGTCTCAGCAGGGTACGGTACTGTATATAGTCTATACAGTAATACAGACAACCTGTTGTTGAACCAGGTACTTGCTACACATCTTCACGGAGGCGGGCTGCTTGGAGTGGTGTGTCATCATCGGGCTCATCTTGAGGGAAGCCGCTGTCATCAACCAGGTGGTGAGCTTCCTCCAGAGCTCAGAGGTCCCAGCAGAGACTGTGCAGAATATCCGCAATGGCCTGCTGGCGGTCGACACATGGGCCACAACAGACTGGTAAGACTGGACTTGACATGCTCTTCTAACAATGTTAAGGACCAGGGCCCACCAGCAAAAAATCACTCAGTTTTTTCAGAAGATGAATTACTTTTATTTATATTTAAGTAGAAAGTAGAAGAATAATTCCTAGCGTGTGTGCTTTTCATCTTTGTGGATTAAAGGCTGATGAGTAGCATCTTCTGTAGCATTAGTCCCACCAGGTCAGGCCCTGACATGAGGAATCACTCCACCAGTTTGAGAGACTCTGACAAGGGCTTGGCTAAATATGTAATTGAAATTGAAAGAGCAGAAGAATGGTTACAAATGAGAGGACATTCAGCGTTTCTTGCTAATTGATCCAAGGATCTCATCTTTCAGCTATTTTTTTAAAGACGCCAGGGTATCGGCTTCAGCATGGCTAGGTGCCTTGTTTCATACTCCCTCAACCCTTTAAAGAAGTGCCTCCTGTTTTTGGTTTTACATTGAAAATATTGTGCAACTCAACCAATTAGAAGTGCAGGAGAACCAGACCCCTCTCATTCATTTGTACTGCCTGTGCTGGTTTGTTTTCAAATCAGGGATTATTTTGCTTTGACATCTGAGATATAAGGAATTATTTTTTGGGGGAGTGAAGTCCACAAAGCTAGCTACCTCTAAACCTAACCTAGTATTTGTGCTTGGTTTCTCAAGGTAGACAAAAGCCTTTGTTGACTCATTGCAAGGTAGTACTTTTTGTAATGACTTTAAATACTTTATACTATTATACACTAAAAAACTTTATTATCCGGCCTTTTATTAAGCAGAAATCTGTATTCTCTGTCGTTGTAATCTTTCAACGTCCTTGTTACAGTAACCTTTCTCCATAGTGCAGACATAGTGTATCATTTTTGCTGAGTTTTATTTCTGATTGTTTACATAATCCAAAATTCTTTGTGCAGCCTCAGTCTTGTGAAGCTAGTCTGTGGGAAGTGTATACCCGAAATTAAAACCTTCTCCAGTTAAAGTATAAAGACGCATGCTGGGAGTGATATTACTCCTGCAAAAAAGAATCTCTAATATCTCAGAAACCAATGATACACAAACCATGGTCTCGGCGGCACAAAATGCAGTCTCCTGCAGTTCCTCCTACTTTATTACAGTGAAGAAATTTTCCATGCAGAGATCTGCTATTTCCAGGGCCAGGGAAAATGTTTTGCTCTTCGGAGACCTCAACACAAGAACACATACACTTCAGAGAGGGGAAACCCTTGTGTATTTGGACAATCCCCCCTTTACCACACACCAGTCGTTTCACACAGATCCAGAAAGGGTGTGATCTGCTACTGATCTGTCAAGAGCCCTGTACATTGTCGACGGCAGGATCAGAGGAGACCCTTTGAGAAGCTTCACTAGCTCTATGCATTAGTATGGTGGACCACTCCTATATTACTGTTAACTTGTTCACTGTCAGGCCATAAAGTCTACTTTACAGCAACACATAGATCACACTGTAGAAGAGCACACCAGTCCAAAGGCACACTTTTTAAAGCAAGCTTTATGATTTTAACCAGATATACAGGTGGGATACAAATTGCCTAGACAAATGCCAACAATCACAGAATGATCAAGACATTATTGAACACATTCCTCAACACACTGTATCAAATCAGTAAAACAATTATACTGTATTTTTGGAGATACAATATTTAAATCCCATATTTGGCAAATTAACCTTATTTGTTCTGTTTGGGGTAACTTCACTAAATTGTTAATTCCCAAAAAAGTATGTAGAATCTCAGAAAACAAAGCACCACAAGTACTTCTTTTAACAGCACAAACCAGGCATAAAGAAGTGACACCAATCTGGTTTTACTGTGCATTTATAAGGGGTCTGAGTGTCACAACACCATGTAAAAGTAACCCCTTAAATCTCAGAAAAATGCCATATATACTGCTTAAAGGGGAACTGCAATCCCAATTTCTCAGACCGGTTATGAAATCTCAGTAACAAAATAAATTCATTGATGTTTACAAAAAAATTACAAATTTTTCAAAACTTTACGAAAGTACTGTAAGTCACCATGTTGTTGCAAACTGGAGTTCCCACGAATTGTGACGTGAAGTGGCCCTTCCTGCTCATTACTCCCTGACTAATGTAATGTGCTGTATGAGCGAATAAATAAAAATTGTGCAGCAGACATTTTACTGCAGAAACATGATCTGCATGCAGTTAACAAGTAGTATTTGTCGGCAAAACCGTCAATAAATTGAATGCATTATTGCCATTGGATTAAAAGAGAAGTATTCACAAGCCTGTTTGTTTATAATGTATTAAGCCTACAGCATGTCACCAGAAGTTTTGTTGCCTCATTCTGAATCGCAGAACGTGGTGCTGTCAATACCTGGAAATTTGGTCTGTTACTAGGTTACTGTGTACATTTTACTTTTATTGGGGTTTGAAATGCACTCATCAATGCTGATTCTTTCTAACCCCAAAATATGAAAATAGAGTTGCAGTCCCCCTTTAAAAGCATTTTCAAATGGCACAAATGTAATACAAACAGATGTAGTGGACCCAACTGCATGGAGCTTAATAGGACATTTTAACTGAATTAAAATGAGTGACCTTTCACACACACTAACTTTGAGAAATCCTGGAATATCTGTAATGTTAGTTTTGGAAAGGAAGTCTAGGACTAGTGCTAATCAGGGTATGTCAAACTACCCCTTTGTATTTATTAAATGTGTATCCGTTTTGAAACATCAATTATAATATGGCAATATTTTAAACTATACAAAATTGTTACTTCATTGATAAAAGATGATAGTATGAAGCTTCTTTAATAACATTGGCATAATCAAAGGATGGTCTTTGTTTTGAAGTTATTGTGATTTAGTCATGCATACAGAAATACAGTACATTATTTCTTACCACCAGAGAAGATAACCGTCATGAGACTGGCATGTTCTACTTTGAAATGATTCTCTCACTTCTGTTTTTCCTGTAGAAACTAATTGGGCCTTGCTGCTTTATCGCATGGTAACCAAAGACCCAAACATTTAAATTCAATTATTCAGAAAAATGTCAAATTAAGTTGCCGAGGTTAATAAGCAATGCTGTTGGCCAGTTGTCAAGCCCATTCTAACATGTTATTAGTCTGGGTACCACAATGATCCTCTTGACAAATCCATGAGGTAGTAGAATCTCAGAGGATCATGTGAGTCTAGAAGCCTTCAATGGGTTTCTGTCGTGTGCTGTAGTCTAACCTTTGTCTTTTTGTGCTGCCCACAGCCTGGGGTACAAGCCCTTTCTCAACCTCATCCGCCCACAGCTGCAGAAGCTGGTGGAGATGACAGCAGAGCAGGTGCAGCCTGAAGCCTTCCAGCCAGTCAGCGTCTCCAAACTGGCAGAGCCGGCCTGCCCACGAGCAGAGGACAGCCGCAGCCCCAGCGCAGGTGGCAGCCAGCCCAGTGAAGGAGGAGTTAGTGCTATCAGACCTGAAGAAGACAATCCTGGGGACGAGCCTGAGGAGCCACCACTGGAGGAGGGCACCTACGACTGCACTCTGTCCTGACTGCAGCCTCAGGGTGACAACACAGCAAATACAGCACAGCACTCCTCAGAGGAGCAAAACAACAGAGCCAGTGCAAGTTTAAGTTTCATGTATCGTTTTGTTTTTTTCTTCCCTTTATGATCTAACCTATCAAGCCAGTTGGGGTGAAAGATCCTTTTACCTCTTGAACACGATTTGCAGTGGCTCTTCAAGACTGGAAGTCAGATTTCCTGCTAAGACCATACATCAGCTATACAACTTGAAAACTCTGTAGTAAGAAATTTAGGTACATTGTGGTATCAGAACAAAAAATAAGTGTAATAAAGGGAGGACTGAAATTGCAGAACTGAAATTAATTTCTCTGAGAGTATGAAGGACTAAGAGATCTACTAATTTTCTGAACTTTTATTGCTGTTCACCTACTGTATGTCCAACTGTTGCCTGAATGTTTTTAATATTCTAAACATGGCACAATATTTACATATTGTAAACTATTTTTTTCTGCCACAGGAATGATTTGTGTTAGTGTCAGTATTATTCTGAAGTCCAGTTGTTTAATTTACATCTCTTCAACCATAGTACATAAGTAACATTTTCTGCCAAAGAATGCTAGGTTAACATTAAAAAAATGAAAGAATATTTCTGAATAACATTTATTATTTACCAATGTGGAGCTGAGGGATATTTGACATACACTCAGCTGTGTGATGTACAGTCCTCTTCTCACAATAGTGATGTGTATAGCTGACTGCGGGTGCCATTTTCAGGTTTTATTCCTGTTGAGTGCAGTGAGAGTTCAGGAAATTTATTTAATTTGTCCTGTATTTGTGAAATATAGAAGTCATTGATGTGAACGCTGTAAGTTTGCTTTAGACTTTCACACGCATATATATACCTGTATATACTGTGAAAAAAAGAATCCCTGTGTCTTCAGCATGGTGCTGCTTTACTCATGCCTCTGCCTTTGATGAACTAAAAAAAAACATGAGATGAGGAACATTTAGGGGGTGGGGGGGGTTGGTAGGTTTCAAAGAGGAACTTCAGTTTTTTACTTCAGTCTTGAAGTGCCACACATAAAAGGAAATGTAAACCAATTTGTTCCTCTGCCTGTACAGAGCATATAGGCTGAGAGTTGGAATTCTAAAGTATTATTCTGCTGCAAACAACCATGATAATTTCCTCCAGTTGTGTAGGATCTGGAATGATAAAAAGCAGTGATTTTTATTAGTTTTTTAAATATTTTTATACCACTGTTGCTTATAGTTTCATGACCATGGTGGCTTTAAGGATGGATATTTGGAAAAATAAATGTGACAGAAGAGTAGTTAGGTACCGTTGTTTTTTTTTCTTTCTTTTTACCACAGTATGTAAATGGTACGCATCGTTCAAAGAAAGTGTGTAGTATTTTGTATAAAGTGTTTTAATAGTCTGTATCTTATTGTGAATACCTATGTATAAAAGAACCTTTTCAAGTGGCTGACAAAACCACTTGTGTGAATATTGTACGGTTCCTCTTGACATGCATGTTGCATGGTTCAATGGTCACTTGCAGTAGCTGTAGGCTTCACAGAAACACAAGCAATGGATAAAGGTCTTAGAGCACAAAAGAGTAGAGAAAACACACTTGAGGAAGCTTTGGTCTATGTAATGATGTAATACTCTCATCTGTATTAAGATGATTAACTCTCTTCAAGAGTTGAAGAGTCTTCAACTCTTATAAAATAAATGTTGAGGCACACCTCAACAACTGGACAATGTGGAGAAAGTTCAGATGCTGCAAAGATCAGAAAGTTTACAACAGGTCTTTTTGGTTTCTCATCACAGATTAAACCAGCAGACGTCTTTTCAGCATTTGTGGCTCAGAGTTACATATTAGAGCCAGTAGTTGAAAGCTCATGTGTGGAATCAAGGCCAACAACCTATCAGTTTATAATTTCCTGTCAGTCTTAGCAAATCAATGAAGAGGAAAACTAAAGAGAACAAAATCTTTTTGTCCAGTGGATAAAGGGAAGGATAAAAAAGAATATTTTTGCACAGTATATTCCCTCTTCAGTTTTAACAAAACAGTAAACTTGAGTGGTACTACAGTCATCCACAGATACAGAGCTAACAAAACAAGTAGTATACAGTATTCAGTGCTTGGAATTGTTTTTCTGAATAGTAAGCATTAATTCACACATTTTAGCCTGCTGAATTATATTCCACTTCAGGATAGAATATAATTCATAATCTCCACTTCAGAGAACCTTTCATTTAGATCTCGGTGGGCTGACTTTTCCTAAACTGATGTTGAAAAGAGACTTTCATTCAGGTTTCATTATTTTTGCAGTTACCAGTTCCAGACAAAGAATGATAGCTTGTATTAATAAACAATATTGTTTTGGGGGCTTTCCTTTTGGTGTGCTTCCAATTTAATAGGCAGGCATTTTAGTATTTACATTGATTCCCTTTTTAAAGACCCAGTACCTCTCACAGAATTAAGAGTTATTTCAGAATAAAAGCAGATGCATGCTTTTCTTTGAACGAGTTGTTGTGTATAGAGCTGCTAATTTGGAGAGAGACGTTTGTTTAGATCAAGAATGGTATAAAAATCCCATTTGATAGCTAATGGACTAAAATCTGCTTTTAATTGCTACAGACAACATTTTCAAGAAAGTGCCTGGATAAAATTGTCTCTTTATATTTTGTGGACCAACTAGGTCCTTAAAAAGTTCTTGCAAACATGGGGCTACTTATTCACCAAACATTATAAGTGTATATAAATAAATATGGGCTATAAATAAAGATTCTATTTTAAAATCAACTAAATGTATTTTGATTTATCAGTGCAGGTTAATGAATTTCTACCTGCTACTGATTTATATTGCTCAATAGAAACAGATACTGTTCAAAGTCACCAACAACAAGTGCTCTTTAGTGCAAACCCTATTTTGGAATACAGTAGTGTCATTTTAATAGAGCAGTAACAAGGCATTGTCAGGAATTTGACTTGGTGAACTTTAAACTGCTTTTTAGAACTTGTCTTTGTAAAGCATGTCCACAAGGTGAAGAAAACTCCAGTCAATGAAAATAATGTGGGATGACAAAGATCACGGTGCCTATGACTTTTTAGCGGCAGTGTTGTAATAGAAAACATTTTTTTTTCTCAGCACGAATCATGCAAAATGTTTTTTTAATTAATACATCTTACTACTGTTTTTTGGGGAGAGATGGCTGAAATCCAGTTAAACAATGCAGTTCAGTTTTTAGATACTCAATATTTTTATAACTATTGCCTCTAATGCCCTTAAGTTAACTTTTTATCAAGCATAAATGTATCTGTCCTTATTTATTTTTGTTTGCGAGTATTCATCAGTGAACCGCTATTTATGAATGTAAATAGTGCAAAATGAAATCTTGTGATCTTGTACTCAGACTTTAATGTGGTGATAAATTTTGCTAAAATGGACAAAAGTATTCAATTTCACAATCTTTTACTAAAAATAAGATTGTATACCTGTATTAGAAAGGATTTATTTTGAAAATAACTTCAACATTCATTGCTGTACTTGTAGAACAACTTGTGCTTGAGACATTGACATAGTATTTTAGAAAGTTAGATCTTTCTTTTTTCATGTATTCTAATAGTTTCTACCTACAGCAGTATTAAATGATACTAGCAAACATTTGTAATGGTGCAATTTAAATGAATCAATGCAGAAATGTTACTTATTTTATACAAGAATGGAGTGGTCTATTTTTATAGAGCTTTACTGTACAAGGTCTTTTTTTTGGCTTTGTTTGTTTCCTTTTTATGGACCAAAATATTTGTAATTATAACCTCACCTGTCCTTTGCTAACTAATCAGCACTATTTGGGTGCTGATTAAATTAGTGTTTTTCCTGTCTTTGGCTTTGATCATGAAAAGTAAAAGTTCCCTTAATGTAAGATTTACTTTCTTATATCGAAGATAAACTGCAGAGGACAGTTCCACTGTCTTCCAGTTCTCATTTGTTTTGTTTTACTGTGCTTAACCAAAGGAAATATTCAAAAGTGTTGAACTTCACAGTGAGTCAGTTTACATGAAGAATCCAGTGGCCTGTCGGTAACCCTCTGAAGTTGCAGTTATAAACGTAGGAGAAAAAATGCTATATCTTGAAACCAAAAGCACAGTGAGTTTTTTTATATTTGTTACTTCATCTTGCAGATGCAATTGACAGGTATAGGATACCTACTCCATCTGTCCTTATTCAAATAATGATAGGGGCAGTCTTAACTTTCTGCTCTGGATTTTATTTCACACCACATGCTCCTATATGTAGCATGAAATATGAACTCATCAGTCCAGAATGGTTGCTTTTGGTAAACCCCTTGTAAGCTCCTCTCCTAAAGCAGCACACACCTCACATCTGCTGTTGCATAGTTTGCATTTCCTTTTCATAACTTGAAAACAGTAAGGATAACGTGAAGTAACACTGAATGTTAATAAAATATTAAAAACCCTTCTGTCTGCATGGAGTAAAAATGCCAGTGACACAGGGAAACATTCAGGTTCATTAGAGGTTAAAGAATTTTCAGTAGAATGCAGTGTACAGTTTTTCTTTTACAATTTTCTACTTTTTGTTTTATTTTATTCTCTGTATACAAAGAACAACATTAAATTATTTAAAAAAGCAAACAACTTTGTGTTTTTGTGTTAAGACTGATGTACATAAAGCTATATAAATGGAGAATGATGCTGACTTGGGTGATTAGAATCCCAGCTACAAATATACATGCATTATGTAACCCTAATATCCTAATATATACTGATAAAAGAAACACAATATTCTCTTATAGTCTTATGGATTTAGTAACACCTTTTAAACATATGGTATTGAAAACAATTATGGAAACAAAGGTAAAAATGGATAATGTAAATTTCATACTATAAATTTGTATTGATTGGAATGTTCCATAAACTAGTATTACATTGATATGCAACCCATCAAAAAGTGCCACACTGCCTAAAGGCTAATGAAAGTAAAAACATTCATACAATTCTAGAGCTTTAAATACTATATGCAGAGATCACTGGTTACTGGGAAGGATATCTCATTTAGCAAGTGCCCAACATTTCATGCAGTGCTGGATATTGAGACTCTGGGTGTGATCATGGAATTGGTACTGTTGACAATAAAATATGTTAAGAGAGAGAACCCAAACCACCATATTTCTCAAGCAATAAACCTATCTGCTCATTATTTAAAATGATCCCAAGGCACAATTGTAAAAGTAGTAGTATTAATTGCTTCATGCTTCCATGGTCTGGCTTATATATGTAGCGGCGAGGCTTATTAATAAGGCAGAATTAAGTGTTTCTGAGCTTTCCCAAATTAGGCCTCATTTCT